GTGGCTTCAAAGATTTTTTTGTTGAGGCAGGGTCACATTGTGTATGTCTGGCTGGCATGCAACTAGCCTTAAACTTACAAACTTCTGCCTGCCTTTGTCTCCTGATTGGTGAGGCTAAAAGTGTGACCAGTAACTCTCAGCCTGAACTGTTTTTTGTTGTTTTTGTTTTGTTGTGTTTTGTTTTTCAGCTTTAAAAAGCCACCAAACAGTGAAATGGAAAAGCAAAATGTAGTAATACTTTTGGAACTTGCAGATCAGATTCTTTTGAAGGGAATATATTAAGGAGTCTTGGGTGATAATTGGTAGTGTTTGTGGTGCAAGCAGTGAGAACTTGAGTTAAATCTCCCTGACACACAAACACACACACACACATCCAGGCATGTCAGAGCACGTTTGAGGGATCTCAAGGACTTACTAGCCACACAAGTCTAGTTACTTGGCAGGCTCCAAGCGAGAACATATCTCAAAAAACAAGGCAGACAGCAACTAAGAAACTACAGTCAAGGTTATCTGTCTTTCACATCCATTTGCATATACACAGAGATTAAAATATTCCAAATTTTTCATTCAGCAACATTAATCTCCCATCAAATTGTATCCTGAAAGGACACAGGGATTGCTTCAGTGAGTAAGCAAGAGTTGGGAACTGATTTTTTTTTTTTTTTTTTTAAATTTGTGAAATACAAAACAAAGCTCCTATTGTGCAGTAACTGAGATCTGGTTTATACTCACAAGCACTTCCTTGGGTTTCCCTGCACCAACCATTGCAGATATCCTGTTTCTGTGCTAGGCGTGCCTTGGGCTAATGGTTATTTAAATCAACTTAGTTTCCTGTCAGGTGGTGCCATATGATTGCATATACTTATGGCAGAAACTTTGTTAAATATTAAACATTTGTACTTAATGTGAAAGTTAAGTGAGGGTTTGTGATTCTGTTGTTTAATTTTCAAATTTTGAGCAAGATAAGGCATTTTTACATGACTATTATGGTTTGCAGTCGTTGGTCTAGAATGTGAAAATTGAGCATAACAAGGGCAATTGTGACTAGTTGGCTGGAGGCAACCCTAGCTATAGAGCACTTTGCTGGGTCACAAGTCCAGGAGTCAAAAGCATTTGACCTTGAAGGTTGAGGCCTTGATTTTGTTAGTCTAGTGTATGCTAGTTTATTTATGAGAGGACATACTTATCCAAATGATATTTGTGACTCCATTTTTGACTGAGTTAAGACACTGATTAGCACTGTTAGTGAGCATGGAATGGCTTTTAGGCTTGAACTGGAGTTACTTGTTTCTCTGAAGTCCTAGATTCATTTTCTGTACTTTTCTCAGTAATCACTGGTGATTGATTGATTGATTGGGTTTTTTGCCCTAGTACTTTTTAACACTTTGTTTTCTAGGTATTAGTTTGTTCAAAGAAATGTTTTAAGTTTGGGTCTTCCTTTTGGCACAGTAGCATGTTTTCAGGTCCTATTTACAAAGTTGAATGTTTTGTTACTTGGCTAATATCTCCAGTGGATGGATTTTTAATTCTCTCAGTAGTCTTGAATGGTCTTTACTGATCCTTCATTAAAATCCAGTATGAAGTACTATACACCTTAACAGATGCTACTGGTACCAGTCTGGACAGGAGGGAACTAAAACACAGTGGGACTTAAAAGCAACTTCCCATGAATATACTAGCAGATTGAGGAGCTAGGGATAGAAATTTAACTAGTCTAGAATTTGGTATATCCACCAGCTTTTATACTACCTTGCTCTGATAGAAATATTGTTTTAGGAAATGTAGATATAGTGTACTATAAGTTTGTAGTAGGCTTATAAAAACTTGAAAACAAAAAAACTATTAGATTACTAGGTATCTCCGGGGAGAATTAAAAAATTTGACCAAGTGTTAAGTCACTGAGAATGGTCTCAAAACATCACTTAAGGAACTTTTCTTTAATGCCCTCACTCCAACACCATTTGGTCCACTTGAATGTTGTCATAGCTCTTAAAATTGCAAGTAAGAATAGTAATTGTGTAATTATTGTTTTTCTTCTTTTAGATTGTTCCTAGAGGACAGGACAGTGCTTGTTTAAGGCTGTATTCCTGCCTTGATGTCTTCGAGATCAACATACTTTTCATAATACCAAGGCTGTTGCCTTTTACATTCTCAGAAGCAAGCAGAGGCACATGATGTTGTGTTAAATACTGTCACTATGTTAAATATTGCTGTGTAGTTCTGGTTTTCCTAAGGTAGTTTAGGTACTATGTATATGTTTTGAATTAACTCTAGGTTACACCTTCCATAATCCATGCAGTGTGTCATGAAATTGTTAAGTCTTGTAGCTTTGTACATAAGGATAAAGGTGTTTTATTGTCATGTTTTGAACATTTCCCCAAAGTTCCGAATTATAAAATTGCAACTTTAGAATTTATTTAAGGAAGATGGTTGTGGTTTAAGATGATGCTTAATTACCATTTGTGTTTTGTGTTAGAAGATATTATATAAAACTGACATGTAGAAGTGTTGGTCAAGAAATTTTAAGAAATGTGTACTGTCTTTAGAAAGCATTTAACTAGCATGTCTTGCAACACACTAACTTTGAATAGTGTTGGCACCAGCTATGTTGTAGAGTCATTTTAAAAAGGCTTTCTAATGAGTGTTGGATTGTTTTGAATGCTGTTGAATGTTTTAAATGCAGACTTGTTTGTATTCCATAAAACAACTGTCAGAAGCTTCAAACTAGAAACATAAGCTGAAATATTTCAGAAGGTAAACAAGCTACTTGTTGTATTGGCTGTAATGTATAATAGTTATGGTTTTAAAGTTAGCATTGCTGAGTAGTATCTACCTGCCAGGTGAAAAGAAATGTTCCTAGTGGTTCTTTTGAATAGTATAGCAACTTGTTATGTAAAAATCTTTCCACAGATATGAACTCTTAATTCATACATGCAGGTGTATGGATGAAGCTACAAACATGACTGGACTTTATATTGTGATTGTATTTATTTATGTGAAAGCTTGGCAATAAACCTATGTCCTAAAATAGTCAAAAGTGTGGGATGACTTTTTAATCTCAAAGCTTATCCAGAACTGTGTTGACATTTGCCCTGACGGTGAAAAACAAAGTGGGTAGAGCATGCAATGCCTTGGCACACACTGTTCATTGCCACTCATTTGTGATGTCAGCCAAAGAGGGAGGCATGTGCTTTTACTTCAAAACACCCTTCTGAAAGACTTGACAAGTTTTGGTAATCACAGTTGGAATTGGGCATCCATCTTGTAAGCAGGAAGGAGCCTGGCCTGTTAGGTAAACAGCTGACAGGGGCATAATTAAATCCAAACTTTGAGGGAAATTGGAAAAAACCTGAATATTGTGTGGACCAACTTCTGGAAGATGTATATAATAACTGATTCATTGCCTTCCAGCTGACTGATACCTATGCCCTATCAATTGCATGCATAAAAGATAACATCTGGGCCTTCTAGCCCAGAAATTGACAGTTCCAAACTCCTATGTTAGTGTTCTTACTAATATATCCCCAGCTCAGTCTTGAAAACAGAGTTGATGCTACAATGTTTCAAAATTTTAAGAATGAGAATTAGAAAGTTTTAAATTTTCTAAAGATGGCTTCTTTAGAAAGATGTACATAGGGAACACTCGATGACTCTGAAAGAGCCTTGAAGACTGGTACTGGGCACACTACACTAGACTAGCAGGCTTAAGTGGAGAAAAGCATATATTGCTTTAAGTGGGTCGTACATGGCAGGTAGGAAGTTAAGAATTTGGGTTGAACTGGCATCTCAAACGGCTAACATCTACACAACAGATGAGCAAGAACTTTACCCTGAGGCAAAAAATAAAAATAAAAAGGTAACAATGGAGCCCAGACTACCATCTAGGAGGACTTGCATTCAGATCTCATCACCCACACCAGGCAGCTGCTAATTGCAGCTTCTAGTCTTCCCAGGTACTTGCACATAGCTGCACACAAACACAATTTAAAAATAAGCCTTCCACCTGGCAAAATACTGCATTTCTTTAATGCCAACACTTGGAGGCAGAGGCCAACTAGGGCTATATGACAAAACCTTGTCTAGTGGAAAAAACTACTCATAGCTCATTTCTTATTCTAGTAACCAGATTAACAAAATTTACCAACTGGAGTGCCCACTGTAAGTCAACTTTTTTTTTTTTTTTTTTTTGTATATTTAATAGAATTAGAGCTATGGTGAATCAAGCACAAACCTGGTGTACTAACTTGAGAAGTTTGCATAAAAAGTATTAGTTCATTTGTTCAGTAAATATTAAATGCACACTGGCAAATACTGTGTAAGGAACTTGGTAAATAGTGATGAAAAGAGATAGCCATCCCTGTACATCCTGGCTCTGGCTACCTTGGTTTGAGACTTAAATGGTTTATTTTGTCAACAATGGAAATTTATGTTCAATAATGTATTTTGACAACTGCAAAAATGGCCAATCTAGTGTATAAAACCTTTACAAATTTCTTAATCCAGTTCATTCTGCAGTGAGTAGTTCCAAGAAGTCAACTGGCTAGTGACTGTGCTGCAATGTGGATTCTGTCCTTAAAGGAAATACTTTGTCCTTTATTCTAAATAGAAACATAATACTGAAAATCTAACCCAAATGAAGCCAGACTCTCGAAAATAACTTCGCATCAAAGCTCAAGCAAGGCTTGCTTTAGGAGGGAGGCACTGTTAAGGAACTGATAAGTACTGAGTTATTTAATTTCCCATACAACTATCTGAGGAAGGCAACTGGAGAACTGACAAATGGGTAGGAATAACAGGGCTCTCGGTCAGGTTTTCATTTAAAGATACATTTTGCTACCCCCCCACCAATACTGACAGGTGCTTTGTGGGGTAGGGAGGGAGCTTTGGAAAGTAACGCTTTCGTATCCTAAAAGAAAAAGTCCTTTATACCTCATCTGCTGATGCTTCTATTACTTAGTAATGCACTATTACTAATAGTCACACAAAGCATCTTTGTCCTGTTTTGGTTGTGTGTATTTATTTTAAGGCAAATGGCAAACTGTAGGTCTTAAGATGCTTCAGTTTCTGAGGGTGATATATAGAACAGGCTGCATAACAGGCAATAGAACGTGGCCGGAAGTGTTCTAAAACCTAGAAACCAAGCAACGTAGGGTCCTCAGGAAATACTATTACAATCACCTTGCTAACAATAAAGCATTCCAGAGTAGTTAAGCAGTTAAAACTGCAAAACTAAGATACTTTTCTGCTATTTTTCTCCCAAAGCAAGGTCTTTATGCTGACATTGCCAGTGTTAGGAACTACAAATACTATTAAGTCGTCTTCATTCTTTGCTTTACCAAGGAGGGCCTCTTTGTCCATCTTGTTCTGAGGGATGAACAAAGGCTTGAGCCGTGCGTTTCAGAAGATAGACTGCAGCATGAAGGCCCCCGATGTTCACCCAGACTGTATGGACCTTTCGCCACACATGTCCCATTCCAGATAATGCCTGGAACACACAAAAAGCATAAAAGTCATTAGGCCACCAGTATGCTTCTAAACCAAACTGGAATCTTTGCCACTTTAGAAATGCTGTGGGTAGTGAGACGGAGAGTTGGCTCAGAAGTTAAGAGCACTTGTTCTTCTTGCAGAGGATCTGGGTTCAGTTTCTGGCACCACATGGCAGCTCACAATTTTAACTCCAATTCTAGGGGATCCATCCAACACCCTCTTCTGTCCTTTGAGGGGACCAGGCATACATGTTGTATACAAGTGGGTGTGGTGTGCGGGTGTGTGTGTGTGCGCTTATCTAAAGTTTGGAAGGTTCGCAACTTAACCCAGAACTCACTGAATGGCTGCACTGGCTGGCCAGCCAGCAAAGCTCTGGGGCCTCACCTGTCTGCCTGGCCTGCTGCACCCATATCCTGGCCCTAGGGCCCAAGCCTTCTTTTAAGAATCCTAAAGTTGCTTTAGGCTGGGATTTTAATTCATGTGCAGTACCTTGTTAAAACATTTCTTGTCCTGGGTAAGCAGTACAGCTCTGCCTGTCCCCGGTCTACAGACACGGCTCATTTCCCGAAGGCATGCTGGATATAGATTCCAGTTTCTCTTCTTGGAGCCCATCCTGTAAAAGAAGGCCAAGTATAAACTATTACAAAGGATAAATAGGTAGTTTCTTACGTGAGACAAGAACAAAATCCAAGATAGGAAGAAGTCATCTTTTAAAGGTCAGGTATCCTATGCCAATAAAGAAAGCCATGTTAGTCAAGTGCTCAGAGTTTTCTATCACAACAGGTTTTTAACAACTGTAACATCTCAATGAAGTAGCAAGAAATCAAATTACATGAGCCAAACCACTAAGTAGAAATCTGTCTCAAGAAGCAAGCACTCAGCCTTTAATGTGGACTAGGATCATGTAATGGCACAATGGGTGAAATGAATTACGGTACATTTTTCTGAGAAGACAAACAGTGAAATAACATGTGAATTCACACTCCATTAACAAAAAAATTCTACCTTTTACCAAATGGCATATCTGTTACGATAATATCCACAGAAGCAGTTCTCAGTGGAAGGTTGCAGATATCCCATTGAACAGCATCAATCGGCAAACCCCAGGATGTTTTTCTGTGGAGACAAACAAAGGAAAGCTATTTCAATATATTTTCCCAGGCTAATGAGATGGCTCAGCATATAAGGGCACTTGCCATTAAGCCTGATGACCTAAACTTTATCCTCAGGGCACATGTTGCAAAAAGAGAACTGAATCCTTCAGTTTGACTTCTAACCCCTACCGTCATGTAATAAATAAATAAATGTAATAATATTCTGTAGTATGAATTTTTAAAGATTTGTTTTTCCAAATAGAAATGTTAAAGTAATATAGGAAGAAATATGTCCATAACTGAAATGCAAGTTTTTGTAATGGTTAGGATTAGTTTTGAAAGGATGTCCGGTCTCAGACATAATTTAAGAAAAGCACCAGGAAAAAATGAGGTTATATATAAAAAAAAGTATCTGAAAGTCCAGAGCAATGACCCAGCCAGCAAAGGTGCCTGCCACTAAGCCTGACAAATGGAATTTGAATCCTGGGACCCACAGAAGAAAGGAGAGAAGGAAGGAGAGCACCAACTCCCACAAGTTGTTCTCTGACCTCCACACCATGCATGACACAGCTTGATGGCATACTTAGGCTCACACACATACACACATAAACAGACCAATCCAACAGCCTTCAGAAACAAAGTGATTAGAGGATTTAAACAGGCCAGGGTCACTAGGAAAGATACCTAGTAATTTAGAAGTTATGGTAATGGCTTTCATGCTTCTTTGAACTCACATTGTTTTAATTATTGATTATGTTTTTCAAGACAGGTTTTCTCTATGTAGTCCTGGCTGTCCTGGCACTCAATCTGTAGACCAGGCTGGCCCTGAACTCAGAGATCCACCTACCTCTGCCTCCAGATTAAAGGTATGTGCCACCACCACCTGACTCGCTTTTTAGAAAAACCTAAAATAAACTGTAGTAGTTCTATATAATGAAATAATGTGGTCATTAAAAATAGACTATATAAAAAATATTGAAAGTATTTTCAAATCTGTGACATTAAAATGAATCTACTCATGTACTGCAGATGTGAACAGTTGGATTTGGTAGCTCTTGGTAGCTCTTGTCTTGAGAGGTGAAGACAGGGAGATCACTATGAGTCTGAGGCCAGCTGGGCTATACAGTGAGTTATAGGGTATATGACCATGAAAATCTATACTATACCATACTGTTTGGGAAAAGGACACACACAAAAAAACAATAAACAAAAAAAAGAATTAAAACTGCAATAAAGTGCCAACGCTATACAAAGAAATCTTGCCTCGAAAAAGAAAAAATTGCAATAAACTATAGAAATTATAGTTAAATTACAGGTAAATTTCAATAAGTTAGATGGTGTCTTCTCACACTGTTCATTTGGTTAACAATACCATAAAGCACTCAGGGCGAATGTTAATTCCAAGTCAGTAGGGAGAGTGACTCAAAAGCTGCAATGCAATCTTTGGAGTTAAAACTTACCCATCTTTAATCTGGCTCTTAGTTAATAGAGATGAGATGTTATTTGCTGCTCTGTTCACTGCCAGTGGGTTGTTGTCCCCAGCAATATGGTAACAGTGAGACCACTCAGTAGCCCCCTATAAGACAGGAGTGTTGGTTAAACATGTCACAAGAGAAAATTGAAGGGGATGTCACTATGGTCAACTTTCAGTAACATGGCAGTCCTTGTCAGAAATGACCTCCCTGTTCTTTTTCTGCCTGTTGAACTCTCACCCACTGGAGATGTGGCTCCAGTGTCACCCACTGTGACATCAATGCCAACCCAGAAGCACTTTGTACACCTCTGTTGTGGCTGACTTGCCCCATTTTTAACTATGTCTATCAACTCTGCCTTCTAAGCAATCCAGCAACTCCTTCCAGATATGTCTAGTGTTTTATTCAATCCCTAACAAGCAAGCAATGGCTAACCCCTATGAGGGACTGAATCTCCTAAATAAACATGATTCTAAAAATTAACTAAACTAACCAGACCTAAATTCTCTTGGATTGTGAGAGTTTAGCTTTTAAAAGATAATGACCATATCTCTGAAAGGATTTTTTAGTTCAGTAAAAAATCAGCAGCATATAAATGGCAAACAGTGACATACTAATGAAATGAAGTAACACACTAAGGTACAGTTTCTGCCACAAAGACATGCATGTGTGAAGACATGCCACGAAGACACCCACTTCATAACTTTTTATTTTGTCTAGACCCTTAAGGGTGATGACATTCTAGTCTATTATGACTGCAAACAAAAGGAATGTTCAAGTATGCCAAAAACTGGGTGGGCAGGCAGGGATACAGGAGGACCCACAGAGTAAGTTTCTCAGGTGATTCTTGGTTGCCAACCTTCTTTAAATTTTTAATCTGATATGTATTTCCCACCATAGGGGCTGCACGTTACAGTACTTCTAAATCAAGAGTATTCAAGGCCAGGTATTTGATACTTTAGTGGACACATCTGTACATTCACAATTTTCATCATTTCTCATCTGAAGTTCCTACATTGGCACTCTCACGCCTACTTTTACATGCAAATGGCTCAGTCCGATCCTTCTCCCTCTTTCATTCTGATGTCTATTTCTGTTGCATGTTTCTTGATCCATGGTAACTTTACCTGTGTTTCATAGATAAGTCATGGTTTAATGCTAGAAAACAATAGCTTTGTTTCCAGAATTCTTGACTCAGCTCTGTCCAGACCTCAAGCAGTAGTCACTCCCCAGCCATCAATAGTAGAACATGCAAACTATATGGTTTCCTCTTGGATTTTAACTCCTGATCAAAGTCAGACCATAGATTTCCTAATTAACACTCTGGATTATTTTTCCTTCTGTGGGTTACTATGGGCTTGCTCATCTGTCCCATTTCTGCCCACTCAACAAAATCTGTAGTACTTCTGTGCAGTTTCTCTTCCCTGGCTTTTAGTATAATCTGGAATATTTCACCGTATTTTACACAAAACTTACAGTGATTTACTGTGAGCTCCTGCTTGATCACTTACACAGGTGATGTGATTCACTCAATCTCCCAGGTTCTGTACCTACAAGATAAGATCCCTTTTCCATAATACGCTGTGGCTCATGCCTATAATTCCAGCACTTGGGAGAGGCTCGAGCACGAGGACCAGAAAACATTGAAGGTGAATCTGTGCTACATACCAAGACCCTGCCTCAAAAGGTTAAAGAAAAAGAAAAGTAGAAAACATCTTCCCATTTCTTGTTTTGCCCACTGTATTCTGTTTGTTTTGTTCTTGTTTTTGGAGACAGGGTTTGCCTGTGTATCCCTGGGTGTCCTGGAACTAACTCTGTTGACTAGGCTGGCTTTGAACTCGCAAGAGATCTGCTTGCCTCTGCCTCCCAAGTGCTAAGATTAAAAGTGTGTACCTCACCCAGAACCTTTTATAGTTTTTGAGTGTCGTAGTAATTCTGAAAATTATTTAACGTCACTGAGTATTGCAGCTTTGTCATATTTTTTAAAACATATTTAAAAATAAAAAAGGTAACAAGATCAGTGTGAGCCGGGCAGCGTCACATATCTGTAATCTCTGCACTCAGGCAGAGGCAAGCGGATCGCTGTGAGTTCAAGACCATCCTGGTCTATAAAGTGAGTCCAGGACAGCCAAGGCTACATGGAGAAACCCTGTCTTGAAAAAAACCAAACCAAAACAAAACAAAAAAAGACCACAAAACAACAAAAATACCAGGTGTGGTAGTTTGTACCCTTAATCCTAGAGGATATAGGTGAATTGGGTGAAATCTGAGTTTGAGGTCAGCCAGTGCTACATAGTAAGCCTGTATCTCAACAAAACATAAAGAATGCTCATAGGTAGTGGGTTTGTTACTGTTTTTGTTTTGCAGTGCTGGAGATTGAGCCCAGGACATCTGTGTGGCATGCCAGGCAAGCACCCCAGCACTGAGCTGTACTGTGGCTTCTCCTTTTCATGACTAAACTTGTTCATACAGGAACCTCTAATTATATAGAGCTGAGAACCACCTTCCAGTTTATGATGCCTTCAGTTATCCCCTGCTATTCAATCTAGTGACTTATCCATTTGTCAGAGAAAAAGGGCTTATCAGTTTGTCTTTCTCAGCTCCTCTGTGATCCAGAAAACAAATTTCACTATCTAGTCATATTACATGCTTTGACAGAAGTTTTAACTTGACTATTAGAATTCTTTGTAAAGTTTTGGAGGTTTTCTTACTATATACAATTTGCCCATTAGGTCTAGAACACTTTGAATATATCACTTGCTTATGTAAAAATAAACAGGTGTTATTACCTCTATTGGTATAGCCCCTGTTCCACACATTGGATCCACTATTACATCAGTAGGTTTAGGTTCACATAGCCTGGAGGGAGAAAACAATTCAGGACATATGAGGATCAGTCAAAAGCTGAGGCTTCCACAATAGAGATTCCTGAAGGTTAGGATCAAGAACCCATCACACTGGCATGAAGGACCAGCCATCTACAGTTTGAAAGTCAGCCTAGGGCTGGCACTCAGTACAGGGCTTTGGGTTTCAGACTCAGCACTGGAAAAGAAAAAAGAAAAAAAAAAGAAAGAAAGAAGAGAGAGAGAAAGATTTGTTACTGTAGCTCTGAGGCAGTAAGATTTTTTTAGTGGACATTTGCTGACAACCAGACATTCAGTACCCTTTCATTTTGGATTTAGTTGTATTAACATCCTTAACATAAAACAACTGCTTTAACTTATACGCTTATTTTATTTCACGGAATGCTTGCAACAATCCTATTATCATTTAAAGATAGACTGATGCAAAGAAACCTTTTTCCTAGGGTTAAAAAAATGAGGTGACACGAATACAAGTCACTTACCAGACCTCAGGTCACTAAGTCGCATCTCTTCTAATCTGTTCCGTTTGAGACCTTGCACCATGCATGTTAATGATCTCTCTCAGAAGATAGATTCTTGGACAAGCCTGTAATGCCAGTCATTGCTAATGGGCCAGGACTGGGCACTTGATCAAAATATGTCACTCAAGTCCTCTTAGGAATTTGGAATAAAGAACAAGTAGCCCTGGGCTGGGTGAGCCAGTCATGTGCATCTGGAGGTACATACGTTTAAATCCTGGGTAAGCTAAGCAAGAGCCCATAAGCTTTCAGGAACGGGACAGCAACCCCTTGTATTTTCTACCATCTAGTTTCTACATTTCTTAATTTTTAACCTTTATGTGCATGAATGTTTTGCCTGCATGTATATCCGCATCACATGTGAGCACTGCTTGTCAAAGTAAGAAGAGGGCATCAGATATCTTGAGACTGGAGTTATAAACAATTACAATTGTGAGTCACCATGTTGAGGCTAGGAGTTGAACCAGATCTACAAGAGCAGCCATCTCTCCAGCCTTGTAGTTTCTACTTTTCTTGAGCTGCTTTCAAAGTTTTCTGTGGAACTGGTACAATTTTTGCTCATCCCCCATCCTCAGCATAATCATCACTTCATGTGTATGTGTACATGTGCGTGAACACTTGTGTTTGTTTGCCCACATGCATGTGAAGGGTCAACATTGGGCATACCCCTCCCTTTTTCTTGTTTTTGTTTTTTGTTTTTTTTTTTGAGAGAGGGTGTGTCTACAGAACCCTGGCTGTCCTGGAACACACTCTGTAGACCAGGCTGGCATTGAATACAGAGATCACCTGCCTCTCCTCCTAAGTGCTGAGATTAAAGGTGTGCACCACCACATACAGTTGGGGCTCCTTCTCAATTGCTCTTTACCTCATTTTCAAGAGAGGGTCCCTCACAACCTGGAGCTTACAAATTTAGTTAGGCTGCCTGGCCAGAAAGCCCCAGGGATCCTGTCTCTACCTCCTCAGTGCTGGAATTACAGACAAAAGTGCTTCTAGGAGGTCAAATTCAGGCCCTTGTGCAGACACTGTAGCAGGCTATCTCTTCAGCCCCCATTGTTATCTTTTTTCTACTTAGTTTTTAATAATTGTACTCAAAATAACTTTGTATGCTGGTTTCTATAATCATGGTTGGAGGCAGATAATAAATGTCTGTTCAATGAATGAAGCTTAGTGTTTCTTTTAAGCTGTCCATTATTAAGTTAACATGTTCCAGTTGTGAGGAACTATGAATCCACACATAAGCAGAATAAAAGAGGAAGCAAGAAGCTGAGTGTGGTGGCACACGCCTTTGATCCTAGCACTCAGGAGGCAGAGGTAGGCAGATCACTGTGAGTTCAAGGCCAGCCTGGTCTACAAAGCTGTCCAGGACAGCCAAGGCTACAACAGGGAAACCCTGTCTCAAAGAGAGAAAACAAAAACTGAAAAGGAAAAAAAATGTAACTATATAACTCACTAGAACATGCCAGACACTATATAGAATAAAATAATCTGTCGTGTTTCTGCATTTGGCCCTCATGAACAAAACTTTTTCATAAAATGTCTTTATTTTTTATTTATGTGCGTGTGTTAGTCTCTGTCTCTGTCTCTCAGTGTTTGTGTATGTGTGTGCATGTGTGCATGGCCAGGCCAGAAGAAGGTATTGGAAAAGAAGGTATGGAGCTGAATTAAAGACAGTTGTAAGCTGTCAGACAAGGGGCCTGGGTATGAGCTCTGGTCCTCTGGAAAACCAGCAAGAACTATTAACCTCTGTGCCATCTCTACAGCCCCAAAGTCAGCTACCACTCTTTTTTTGTTTTTTTTTAAAGTATGTATATGTGTGGGTGGATGTGCATGTAAGTGCTGGTGCCTGCAGAAGACAGCAGTGTTGAATCCTCTGAACTGGAGCTACACGTCATTGTTAACTGCCACCCTAATTGCTAGGAACCAAACTCAGGTCCTCTGCAAGAGCAACATACACTCTGAAACCTCTGAGCCATCTCTCTAGCATGAATAAATCTTTCCTTTTTTTTTCTTTTCTGTTTAAGGGGAACACTTTACAAATCCCTCATCTCTATGAAGGGGCCATGCTGATCTCTGTATTGCTTTAATTTTATAATATGTGCTGCCAAATGGAGCACATGAATACTTTTTTGAGTCCCACATCAAGAAGCCCATTTTTACAGTCTTAAATCTCAATTTAGGGGGAAAAAAGACTTATTTGAGAAACACTAATAACATAGGAATGATAACATGGAAGGGTTGCTTGCCTTGCACTTCTCAAAGTCCCAAGATAATCTCTGGCTGGCTGCCAGTGTGGGTGTGGTGGTGTGTACTGTGACCCCAGCACTCAGGATATCAAGCTTCAGTCTGGCCTATGAGCACAGCAACACCTCCACTCAATATAAGTTCTGTATTCACTTACACATATTAAGAATCTCATCTGCCTCTCAGTACAAAAGCAAAGCACAGCAAAACTTTCTCCATCTCCTCCCAACAGAGATGGCTACTCCACCAAAGACACATACAAAACTACCATTCACTTTATAATCAAGAACACTAACCAGGCGTGATGGTGCATGCAGTTAATCCCAACACTTTGAGAGTCAAAGCAGGAGGATCTCTGTGAGTTCCAGGCCACTCTGGTCTACAGAGTGAGTTCCAGGACAGCCAGGGCTGTTATAGAGACAGAGAAAGCCTAATAAATCATCCTTGTGATATTTTCTGAGTCACAACCTGACAATATTGAATACTGAAGAGAAAATAGGTAATTTTGTGATTCTAACTAAGAATTTTTTTTTAAGAAAATGAGTGTTTTAATTCAGAGCAAAGTGTCCCTTAACATATGTATAGCAAAATACCCTTCTGTTACCTTACCTTAGCATCCCATAGGCAAGAGTTGATCTAAGAGTTGTAGGTCCAAAATGTGTAATATTTCTGCGATGGAGACTCTCCTCTGTCAGTGCAATGCCAACAATGACTTCATTATCATGGATGTTTAGAAGAACCTACATCAAGTTAGAAAAGAGAAAACAGGCAGCATTTTCAAACTGCTTTTATTACTAAGACTTTTTAAAAGCAGGGCCTTCTCAAAGCACTTAAGAGGCAGAGGGCAGGTAAGTTCAAGGCCAAACTGATCTATACAGTGAGTTCCAGGACAGCCAGGACTAAATAGAGATCCTTGTCTCAAACAAAACAAATAAATTTGTAAGAATAAAATAAAACAGCCTCAGAGCCAAGATTGGCCTGACTTTCTGATATAGGCTACCTGGGCTGAAACACAGTCCTCTTGCCTCTGCTTCATAAATGCTGGGATCACAAATATGAGATCCATGTCTGCCTTATTAAGACTTTTTGAATTTTTAAGATAAAATAAAAACAAAATACCTTTCTTTTCAGGGCCAGGGCGATAATTCAATGGAAAGATGACCTGCTGTGCAAGCATGAAGATCTGAATTGGGATCCCAGCACACACTAAAAGCCAGGCATAACTTGTACATACACCCATCACACAAAACTTTCTTTTCAGAAAATTTTTAATTTTTATTGTATGTGTATTAGTGTTTTCCCTGCATGTGTATTTGTGCACCATATGCACACTTGGTGCTCATGGAGGCCAGAAAGGAGTGTCTGGTCCTGGGAAAGTGGAGTTTCAGATGATTTTGAGTTGCCTGCTATGTGGGTACTGGGAATTAAACTGTGTCCTCTGAAGAACAGCCAGTTCTTTCAACTGCTGAGCCATCTCTCCAACCCACACAAACTTTCTGACTAAGTTGCAGTTTGCTCACAGTAAAGTACATAAAATTCATTTATTTTTATATTTGTATTTATATGTGGCCTGGGTCTGTGGAGATCAAAGAACAGCTTTCACAATGCATCCCAAGAATTGAACTCTCGTCAGCAGCCTTGATGGCAAGTCTGTCTACTGTCTTAGCCATTTCATGACCCCAGAGGTATGTAAATCTTAAGTACATATATATTCTGTGAGCTCTGACCTATACTCAGTACTCTTTAGAAGGCTCCTTTTGTCTCCTTCCTGGTTAACATGCAGGATGATCATTAATCTAAGACTATTATAAATTAGTTGTGCCATTTAAAAAAAAGAAAAAAAATAGTATATACTATTTTCATTTAATTTTAAAATATTTTGTTCTTTTCACTCACTATGTATATAAGCTGGCTATCACTAGAGTATCTCCCAATTTTTATTATATGAACATATTTTGATGGTGTGGATTTAAAATATAAGTGTTTGTGGGTTTTTCCTACCACTTTTCCTTTTTTGTTTGTTTGTTTGTTTGTTTTTGAGACAGGGTTTCTCTGGCTATCCTGGAACTCACTTTGTAGACCAGGCTGGCTACCTGCCTCTTTCTCCCTAGTGCTGGGATTAAAGGTGTGTACCACTACTGGCGTGTGCTGTGTGTGTGTGTGTGTTTGTGTGTGTTTAATTGTAGTTTGTTTTGTTTAAGACAGTGTTTCACTATTCGCTCTGGCTGGCATGGAAATTACTATGTAGATCATACTGGCCTTCAAATTACAGAGATCTACCAGTCTCTGCCCCTGACCAAAGGCATGTGCCACCACACTTGGCCTATATATATTTGACACTTCAAACATATGTAAGTGCAACAAGCCCACTTTCACAGTGGACTCTCAAACATACCCTTTATCCAGAGTTGATACCATGTCACATTTGCTTTTATCAACTCTTGTTTTTCTAGTGTTTTAAAATAATGTCTGATATGACTATCTTTGTCCTAGTTTTTGTAACTCACAGATAAAATATTACTTACCCAGTCTTCCCCTTATAATGTCCTCATCATGGCCTTACCAAAGGCAGAAGTCAAGAGCTGGCACTCCAACAAGGAAGGCCCTACTTTACATATTATACTTGCATGGCCTTATGTCCTGTGAAGCCCTCAGAGCCTGGGACATATGCCCTGTTACACGAGTGCCTGAGTTGCAATTTACCCCAGGCAGTGTGGCTCCAGGATTTGTCTTCTGTGCCACTAATTTCTGTACATGACTTTCTTTAGCCAATTCTCATGGCAGCTGTGTAAGGGAATAGGGAATGGGGAATTGTTCTGGCCTGACATTTAAAAAAAAAAAATCACAAAGAAAGTGACATGCCCCAGATTTAAGTATCCCAAAAGAAACAAACTGACTTCTTGGTAAAATCGTCAACTGCTAGAGACCATCAGAAATTTAAGGAACTGCAGTTACTATCACCCACATTAATTATGCAGTAATCCAAGGATAATCAGGCTAATAGGCATTTGGTTTTAAGAACTTGGCTGACTTTAAAAAGAGCAGAGCTGGCTCTAAATGGGGATTTGCCCTAAAACCCTAACTCAAGGTTCTGAAAATTAGATTCTACTAATGTTTAGCAGCAGAACTCTGCAATGAAGATAGAAATAAGTTTGTTTTAGGTAAATTTACAATCTAGAAGTCCATGTAATGTAGAAAAATACTAGATTAGAAATTAGAAGACTAAACCAGGCATGATGGCACATGCCTATAATCCCAGCATTTAGGGAGGCAGAGGCAGGTGGATCTCTATGAAGCAATTCCGGACAACCACGGCTACACAAAGAGACCCTGTCTCCAAAAACCAAAAAAAAAAAAAAAAAAAAAAAAAAAAAAAACAGAAACACAGAAAAAAAAAAAAAAAAAAAAAAAAAAAGACTGGGGCTATAGCTTAGAAATAGTGTGCTTATTCACTATGCAAGGCCCTGAGTCCAGCACCCAAATAAAAAAAATAAAAATAAAAAAAAAAAGACTCATTTTTCTTCTGCTGGACGCGGTGATGCCAGTTCAGAAACAGACAGACATGGTATGCAAACAGAGCATACCTGAGGGTTTTCAAGACAGGGTCTCTACATAGCCCTGGCTGTCCTGAAACTCACTATATAAGCTAGACTTGCCTCAAACTCACAAGAGGTCTTCTGCCTCCTGAGTAGTAAGATTAAAGCCATGTGCTACCACTATTTGAGTTCTGATAGCATCTAGCCATTGAGCACTTCGCATATACCAACATACTCTACCAAACACTTTAAGCCATTATTTCCTCTGCCATCCGCAGTATTGACCTTAAAGGCATATACTATTGCAGGCTCCATTTGAAACAGAGGCCCAAAGAGACAATCTTGTGTAGAGTTACACAATAAAAATTTCAGTCTATACCTATCCATTTATCTCCACATTTATAGGCCATGCTTATTCCTAACATCCTCCTAGCTTTCTGGCCACTGTTTAACTGTCCTTGTGTTGAGTTAGTCTGGAATATCTACAAATGTATGAGAGCCTTCTTTTTCTTTTGTGTGTGACTGCACAGAAGCCAGACTTTACATTGAGTGTCTTTCTACGATTTTACCTTATTTTTGAGATTGGGTCTCTCACTGAATTTGGGCCCACAGTGTTTCAGCTGGTCTGCCCAAAAGCTCCAGGGAACTGCCTGTCTCTGCCTATCAGTGCTAGGGTTAACATGCATACACCAGTTCCAGCTTTTATGTGGATGCTAGGGATTCGGATTCATGTTCTCATGCTTACTCTGCAAGTACTTTATCCACTGAACCATCTTCCCAGCCTCATTACAGAATTTTTTTTCAAGACAGTTTCTTTGTGTAGCTCTGCTGCCCTAGAACTTGCTCTGATGACCAAGCTGACCTAAAACTCACAGAGATCCACTTGCCTTTCCCTCCCAAGTGCTGGGATTATAGGCATGTGCTACCACTACCTGGCAAAAAAAATTTTTTTTTAATTATCAGTCAAAGCTAATACCCACCTCTACATCAAAGTTGGTCATATCAGCCTTCCACTTGAAATGCTCCTGAACAGCACCCCCAAACTCTCTCGCAGCCTCATTTGAGGTAAAGCAATGTTTTTCTCCTGCTCTGTTGCAGGTAACTCTAAACTTCTGTACTTGTGGTTCAGTTTCTTCTCTTAAGCTTTCACCAGTTTCATCTTTGCAAGATGCCAAGACATCACCTACTAAAGTTGATATCTCTTCTTTGATGGCTGGATTTTCATAATAGTCCAAGATATGTGAATCTGTAATGCTGCTGGCAAGCTTCTTACTATCTTTCTCATCTTCTTTATCTCCTTGTCCACAGTCAACCTTCTCTTTACCTGCACTCTGATTTGCCTTTCTGCGCTTTGCTTTCTTCTTCTTGAAAGTGGTGTTAATTTGCCAAACTTTTAAAGGGTCCGACCATGGGAGCTTTTCAGCCAATTCTTCAAAGTCCTTTAGAACCTCTTCCTGCAAAGAATGGAGAATGAAACCCTTTTGTTTCTCACTACTTTAAATTAACAAATAAATACCTACTTTCTTTATACACAACTCTGGTCCTTATGATGAAGACAGTGGGAATGCAGAACAAAAGAGTAAACAAAATAATTTCTGCAATTAAGAAAAACCCAGTTTCAATGGTAAATAATATAAACTTTAGGCTACTAAAGAATAACCCAACAGAAGGAAGTTGAAATGCACAACACTGAGGAACTACCTATGAGGGGAAGCAGACAAAAGGCAGCAGTGGGAAAGAATACAACATATCTAGGTGACTTCCTTTCAGGTCTTCTGAATTTGGGCAAAAATGGTAAGTTAAAAAATGTCATCTGTCCAGATTTTAAATAGTATGATTATCTTTTGTTTTGTTTTGTTTGAGGGTCTCTTCTCTATAGCCCTGGCTGTCCTAAAACTCATTCTATAGATCAGACTGGCCCAGAACTCACAGCGATTCCCCTGCCTCTCCCTCCTGAGTGCTGGGATTAAAGGCGTGCACCGCCACACTTGGCTCACATGTGTATCTTTTTTAAAGTAAATTTGAGGGGCTGGAGAGATGGCTCATAGATTAAGAGCACTGTCTGCTCTTCCAGAGGTCGTGAGTTCAATTCCTGGCAGTCACATGGTGGCTCACAACCAATCTATACTGAAATCTGATGCCCTCTTCTGTCATGCAGGTATACATGCAAGTGGAGCACTCATATGTAAAATAAATAAATAAAAATTTTTTAAAAGTTAATTTGGTGGTGCTGCCCTGCCCAGTTCTTCTCTTCCAGTCTGACTGTATTTACAATACTACTCTGTACTATTTACTAGCAAGGCCACTCCTATAAGTTCATGGTAGAAACACCTTAACTACCTCGACCTTTATTATAGGCCAACAGCAGAGGCATATAAAGGGTGGTTAATATACAGCTGCCAGGCTAGGGTTATGGACACAGGCTTATAATCCCGGCTAGGCTACTAAGCAACCTGAGGCAAAGTTACAAGTTCTGGCCTTCCTGAGCTACAGAGTGGGTTCAAGGCCAGCTTAGATAAATTATTAACACCATATCTCAACTGGGCGAGGTGGTGCACACCTGTGATCCCAGCTCTCTGGGAGGCAGAGGCAGGCGATCTCTGTGATTTCGAGACCAGCCTGGTCTATAAAGTGAGTCCAGGACATGCAAGGCCAGAAAAAAACCCTGTCTCAAGAAAACAAAAAACAACACCACCATATCGCAAAATAAAAAGTAAGAGGGCCAGGAATATAGCTCAGTGGTCCTAAATACAATGCATGGGGTCCTAAATTCAATTGCTAGTACTGCCAGAGTAAACAACAAAGAAGCAGTTATTGGATGATGTGATTAAATGTTTAAAAGGTTAAATACAGAAGACTGCTATCCAATAGAGCAAGCACTAGCCAAACAGAGCTACAGCCTCTATATATACATCAACAGTATAGATTAAAGATTCAGAAGCCAGGTGTGGGAGTGTACACCTTAAATCCTAGGCAGACAGATGGATCGCTGTGAGGCTGAGTATAGCCTGGTCTAAGTGAGTTTCAGGCCAGGCACAGATGCAGTAAGCCTCTTGTTTCATTAAAAAAAAAAAAAAAAAACTTTAGGAAATTAAGTACTTAGTCACATCCGCCACAATTACACTCCAATCTAGCAGTTAGCATACTACATAAATCCATTTTTAAAAATATCTTTTGTCTACAGTTCACTGACAAGAGTTAAATGTGCTTTCCTTGATGAATAACTCCAAAGCCTCTGATCATGAGGTTAAAGAGGAAGTAAAGATTACAACAGTTCATTTAGTGCAATGAAAATTATACTTCAGTAAAACAATAAAAAGAAAAAAGGAGGAAAAAACTTGTTTATCCCTAGTCAGTCCAAGGAGAGCTCTTCCTGTTCTAAAAAACTCTCACGGTCCTGCCCTCAGGAGCTTCTTACAAAAGGCAGACCCAAGAGAAACTGCCTCATTCACAGGTGAGTAAGTTCAAAACTTATCAATACAGAACTTAAAAAAATAAGCAAAAGGACACAGGGGAAGGAAACATGAGTAGGGAAGAAATAACAGGAAAAAAAGTCACCAGAAAACTGCCCAGTGTTAAAAAAGTGATTTAAAGACAATGAACAACAACAACAAAATAACATCAAAAATATGAGACAATATCTGGTAAACAAGACCTCATAGCAGACTTAGAAATGAAATGAGGTGAGTCACCAGGAGATGGAGTTTATAGAGCTTAAAGAAAAATGTAAAAAAATAAAAATAAAAGCAGGGAGTTGAGTGTATGGAACAGTTGATAAAGTTATTGTTGCAAAAGTATGAGGATCTAGTTCTTTTCCTCAACACTCATTTTAAAAAGTGGACATAGTGCTGTGTGTTTGCAGTCCCAGGGTTGGGTGGGGAAGACAGGAAGATTCCTGAGATTTTCACACCAGCCAGCCTCGGTGACAGTGAGTTCAATGTTCACCTAGAAAACTTAACCATAAATAAATAAATAAATGAATGAATGAATGAATGAATGAATGAATGAATGAATAAGGAGGAAGAGGCTAGAAAGTGACCCAGTGATTAAGATCACTTATTGCGCCAGTAGAGGACCCAGTTTTGGATCTTATTACCCACATGGTAATTTACATTATCCATAACTTCAGTTCTCAGGGATACAGCTCCCCAAGGAAACCTGTGGCAGTGGCTGCTCCCCTAGCTTGCTGCTGGTCCCTGCTGTCACATTTGCTATTGTTGGATTACTAGATTGCTGGATATTCTGACTTGTCCCTAGGAACTCAATGACCCTAACCAGCAGGAAGTAGTCTAAAAAAGTCTATGTCCCCTTTTCCCTCTAACCTTCTTTCTCACTTACCTAGTCTTGGGGACTGGAGGGGATTGGAGTGGAGAAGGTGGTAGATATATAAGAAATAACTAAAAACAAAAACAAAACAACAAAACACCTACAAACATGTCCTGATAAGAAATGATCAACAATACCAGACATAGAACTTTTTAAAAAAGACTTAAAAAAAAAAAAAGCTGAGGTTTTTGCTTGTATTTTTGGTCATCACACACACACACACACACACAAACTCAGAAAGCAAGAATAAGGGAGAAATACTTAGAAAAATCAACTCAAGTGAACACTGACTATCATGGTCTTTTTTAGAAGGGGAGACTAGTTCTTTACAGTCCATCTCCTGAAAGAACACATAAAACCAAACATCTCTCAACTCAGGCCAGTACAAAATAACAAGAACCAGCCAGGAACAGGGGCGCATGCTCACAATCCCAGGAGGATCTCTTCAAATGCAACCTTAGCTTGGGCTACGGAGTAAAACCTCATCCTCAAAACAAAACAAGCCAATAGTAAAGGACAGGAAGAACACCTTTATTCACTTGGCTTTAAGACTAAAAGAGAAACAAAGTGTGGGTTGTGACTATAAAACAAAAGCAAAATTACACATCAGCACATAATGGGAAAGAGAAATTAAGAATACTATAGTTCTTATCTCTTATACTTATAGGTCAAAGGATAGAAGTAAAAGCTGATACAGTATAATTAATGGGCCAACACTAAGGACATTAATAAAATCAGAAGGCTGAGGAAAAACGACAATTTTGTCTGCAACCACAGCAGGGATATAAATAATGAAAATAGTAAATTAGATGGATAATAACAAATTATATATAAAGCCAATAGCTAGGAAACATATATAAAAGTTCTAAACTATTAAAAAGTATAGCACAAGAGCCAGATGTGTTAGTTCACACTTTTAATCCTAGCATGAAGGAGGCAAAGGCAGGTGGATTTTAGTGAATTTGAGGGCAGTCTGTTCTACACAGTGAATTCTATAACAGCAGATGAGATTGTGTCTCAAACAAAAAAACCAACCAAACAAAAACCCAAAAGAGAAAACATAGTACACGAAAAAAGTTACATAAAGAGATGTTTAAAAGAAAAAGAATGCATAATGGAAATACGACAAAGCTAAGACCAAACAAACAGAAAAACTACCCTCAAACCCTGCAGTTTGGTCATACCAATGGGATTAAACATAAACACGACCCTCAAAGGATGCAGAGAGGGCTCAGAGGTGAAAAGCACTTGCTGATCTTGTAGAAGATCTGTGATCAGTTCCCAGAATCTAAACCAGGCAGCTCAAAACAACCTGTAACTCCAGTTTCAAGGATACAATGACCTCTTCCGTCCTCCTTGGGCACTGGCACATAACACATGAAGGTGGCACAGGCCTTTGATCCCAGCACTTGAAAGGCAGAGGCAGGCTGATCTCTGTGAGTTCAAAGCCAGCGTGGTCTACAAAGTGAGGTCCAGGATAGCCAGGCTACACAGAAAAACCCTGTCTCGAAAAACAAACAAAAGAATAAAATAAAAAATTAAAAACAAGGCTGTGGGGGTAAAGACGTCTATATAAAACTTCACTATCTGGGTTCTATCCTCAGGACCCACATGATGAAAGGAGGGAACTGGGAAGTTGTCCTCTGACTTCTGTGCATACACATCATAGACACATCAGATTATGTGATTTACAAAGGTTTGGGGACTGGAAGTGTAGCTCAGTTGGTCGAGTACTTGCCTATTACACACAAAACCCCCAGTTTGGTCCCCAGGACCTCATAAAACAGGCATGGTAGAATATGCCTGCAATCCCAGTACACAGAAGGTGCAGGTAGGAGGATCTGGTCATCGTCAACTACATAGTAAGTTTGAAGTCAGCTACAGGAAGCAGTTCAAACAAACAAACAAACAAACAAACAAAAAACTAGCCAGGAATGGTGGCCCACACCTTTAATGGCAGCACTCCTAAGGCAGAGGTGATCTGTGAATTCAAGGCCAACCTGGTCTACATACTGAGTTCCAGGAAAGCCAGGGCTCTGTAGAGAGATCCCATCTCCAAACACCAAAAAAAAAATAAACAAAAAACAAACCCCAAAACCCAAAACAAACAAGCATATAAAGCAAAAGACAAATTAAAGAAAAACAACCAAACCTTACCCATTATTTTATAAGCTAATTTAGAAACAAACAATTAAAACTATCTGTATTGTAAATGTGCAGGCGTTTAAAAAAATAAGTAAAAAATGAGATTTCATTAGGGAGATGGGTAGTACAATTTACATTCATAACCTGAAGGGATTAACAATTTTTCATAGTTAAGACACAGAAATTTCCTTTGCGTAGACCTGAAAATGTATCTGAGACCTTGCTCCTTCTTTTGAAACTTACACCAGGAATGCTTTGTGGGTATGTACTATATGCATGTGCTTGTATGTGCACATTTATTCAAGTGCATGTGCAATGGTAGCAGCCAGAGGTCAAAGTCAGTGTCTTTTCCTGATCATGCTGCATCTCATGTTTGTTTGCTTGCTTGCTTGGAGACAGGGTTTCCTGGCTGTCCAGGAACTCACTCTATTGACAAGGCTGTTCTCTAACTCAGGAGATCTGCCTGCTTCTGCCTTCCCAGTGCTGGGATTAAATGCCTGAGCCACCACTACCTGGCTGCATTCACTTTTGGGGCCAAATTCTGGCTGGGTGGTAGTAGTAGCACACCTTTAATCCCAGCACTCAACAGCAGGTGGATCTCTGATTTTGAAACAACCTAGTCTACAGGACAGGCAGGGCTACAGAGAAATCTCATCTCAAAAAACAAACCCAGTGACAGGATCTCTCAGTGAATCTGGAACTCGTTCATGTCGACTATCTCTCCTACTCCCTTCCTTTGTAATGGGTTTTAGCTTACATTGCCAGGCTCAGCTTTGCTGCTGGTGCCTGGCTCCTTGTGCTAGTGTAGCAGGGACCTTACCAACATGGATTTCCTCTGCCTTCAAAAAGCTTTTTTTTTTTCTTCTTTATTAATGTATATGAGTGCTCTATCTGCATGTGCGCCTGCATGCCAGAAGAGGGCATCAGATCGCTGTATAGATGATTGTGAGCCACCATGTGGTTGCTGGGAACTGAACTCAGGAACTCTGGAAGAAGAGACAGTGTTTTTAATTGCTGAGCATCTCTCCAGCCCCCTTCAAAAACCTTTTTTACAGTGATTTTCAAGGCAACTCTGAAACATTAGCTTATGTAGACTTGTACCACAACAATCAAATTCATCCCTTATTAGAGATCAGAACTACATCAACTAAACAAATTTTAAGATGAGTTGGGGGCAGGCAGTTGGGGAGGTGGTGCACACCTTTAATCCCAACACTCAGGAGGCAGAGGCAGACGACTCTGACTTAGAGGCCAGCTTGGTCTACAGAGCAAGTTCCAGTATAGCCAAGGCTATTTGGAGAAATCCTGTCTCAGAAAAAAAAAAAAAAATTATGATGACAAACATCAAAGAATTTAATAATGTCCTGGTAATTTAAGACAAAAGAATTTAGGACAGGAAAAAATTTTCTTAATGCTCAATAGTATTTATTCATGCATAAAACTGACCTTCAAAATTCCCAAATACTTATCAGCTTAACTTCAAGACTACCTCTTAAGATTTTTTAATTATCATTCAGTTGGTAGTAACTATCATTCTCAAGAGTTAGGCCTGGAGATGTAGTCAGTGTCACTGCTCATGTAGGATGCAAAGGTCAAGGGTTCAATCCACCAGGACAGCACTAAAGAAAAAACAGGAGTCTGAAGGATTACAATATTAGTGTTGCTAATGTTGAAAGTTATTTTTGTAGGCTGTAAAATTTTTAGGTATTTTCAATGGTATTCTTTTAGAGCTGTTTAAATTTTCTATAGGGTATAGGTTCTATTAGCTTTTGTATTGCTGTTTAAATTTTTTACTAGGATCTAATAAGGAAAAATGCTTTATCGTTAAGCCCCCAACTACAGATCAGTTTGATTGATTTGGGGATACTTTGGTTTTCCAAAATAATCTGGAAAATTAATAAAGACCAGAGAATTAGAGAACATGTCACAGTTCTTTCAAGAAAGATTAGCTCAAAATTAGACATTTCTGTAACATTGACAGAAGGGTTTTAAGAACTTGAGTCTGGAAACCTGGACAGAAAGTGATATAGGAAAATAACCTAAAGTGTTACTGAGGTCTATTTTCAACCTTCAGATTAAACAACAGTTGAATATTTAGAACTCAGATGATAAATACAGGCTGGAGACAAAGCTGTTGTCCTAACAACTGAAGGGGTATTAAATGTTTTGGCTTCATTTCAAAACATGAATCTAAAAGAGGGCAAAAGAAAAAAAGGGAGGGAATGCTATTTGTGCTCTCTGTCTCCCGTTCTAGAAGCAATTCTACTTTCAAACCATGTGTACTATGGGTCAAGCCAATGTAAGATTTTTTCCCTATAACTTCAAGTTTTTCTTAACACTGACCTTTAAAAGCAGCCTTTGGGATGATCTGTAAAGAGATTTCTGAATTTTAATGAAAAAGCTTATTGTGGTCACATGCCTGGCTTGTGTAAGGCTCTTGTTTTATTCTCAACATTGTAAACAAAATAAACCAATAGCAAAGCTAAACAACAGATAGGTAGTAAATAGCAGAAAACAATCTCTTTGGGAAAGATAGCTGATAATGAGCTACCATGCTGGGAATAGCTCACCTTTGTGTTTTTGAACTGGTAATCTTTAAACTCCTGAACAACCACAAACAAGTTATCAACTGATCTCAGACAATGAACCTAGGGAGGAAAACAAATGTTAAAAACACACTGAAAATACCTTTGAATAACATAAGCTATCTTCAGTTAAATATTTAAAAGAAAATAGGTACAAAACTGTTTTACTTTGTTGTTTTCTTGTTTTGTTTTGTTTGAGACAGGGACTTGTTATGTTGCTCTGGGCTGCCTCAAACTCACAATTCGTCTGACTCAGTCTCCCCAGGACTGGAATTAAAGGTATAAGCTACCGTGTCTAATTAAGTATAATAATTTTAAAGCACCTCCTATCTGTATTTTATATTTAAATTTTTTCCCATTCCAAGTGTTCCATTTCTTTAGTTACCGATCAGTCTCCTGCTTTTCCCAGGAGAAAGAGCTAATGAGATAAAAGTATAACAGTCTGAAATGTCATGAAGGAAAACAAAAGACTGGTTTGGAGAAGGGAAAAATATAAACCCAAATGGGTCTCTAACATACTTCTCGTGGATTTCAGTGGTTTGCTGTATACCGCAGTGGGTTAGAGCATGTGACCTGAAAGATGGATATACACATGCATGCCTACAACCCCAGCATTCTGGAGACACAGCCCCCCTCAGCTGTGTAGTCAAGTGTAGGCTAACCTGGGCTACATCTTATCCTCCTACCTCCCCAAAAAACTACATGGGTATAAGCTCTAGTTCTGTGATAGGTGAGTTACTGCAGACAAACTACTTTTCTTGTTAAACCTAATGATTAATGACAAGATAACAGTACCAAGGCTTCAAAAAACTACTGAGGGCATAAAGAAAATACTTGCTTACTAACAAAAAGACAGGTGCCTACTACATGTTATATTCTACAAGCCTGGGATACACTGGCAAGACAAAAACAAAACGTAAAGAATCTCCAGGCAGTAATCCACGCCCTATGTCACTTTTGTTACAAGGGGATGGTGGTTTCCTAGCCTCTAATTCCCACCTATAGTCATGCATAATTACTTTTGATCAAGAATGTCTCTGAAGGGCCTGGAGAGATGGCTCAGCAGTTAAGAGCACCAGCTGCTCTTCTAGAGGACCCAGGTTCAATTCCCAGCACCTACATGTCAGCTCACAACTGTCTGTAACCCCATTTCCAGGAGATCTGACACCTACACACACACACACACACACACACACACACACACACACACACACACACAGAGGCATAGCACCAATGTGCATAAAATAAAAAAATTTTAAAAATCACTAAAATTAACAAAAAAAAAATTTTTTTAAAGTGTCTGACACAGATGAAAAGGAAAACCTCTGCTTTTGTACTTACCCAAACTTCTGCGAAAGTAAATTTAAGTGTCATAGACATTCATATATATTTCATTTTGGTGAATAAATCGTCAAGAAATGCCATGATCACTTCTAAACCACAGTTGATGCTAAAATGTACTAAACTGAATATACATTATAAACACCATTAAACTAAAAAAATAGTCAATTTCACAAATCAATATACAACAGAAAATGCAGCAATACTTTGAACAGAACAAGGTAAAGCATTCTCAAGGGGTCTACAAACCAGAAAAGTAATTCTAAATTAACCAAGTTAAAAGACTTTGTTCAAACCTGAGCCAGACTTTCCACTGCAATATCAAAATATATCTTGCCCCGGTCTTTGCTGATTGTGCATGATGACTTCAATTTCTCTCTCACTTCATCTGCAGCTGTTTGCTCAAAGCCCGTAGGGACAGTGGCTCCAATAGTGACTCGGAAATGCTTGGACTCACTCCCAAAGCCACTTTCTGTCACAGGCACAGACCTCTCGCTCTCACGAAGGTTCAGATCCAGGATCTGTCTGGTAGCTTCTTGCGTGTCAGACATGACGGGAATGTTCCTAAAAGGCCTGACGGTCCCTTTAAAGGCAATACAGAAAAGGGGGAAAAAATAAGATGCAGTCACTTTTCACAGTTCAATGTATGTAGGGATTACAGGCAATGAAACATGATTAAACAAGCAAAATACAGGCACGTTAGGAGAAAAGAGGACGTCGAGAGTATTTCCACAGCATGCAGTGTTTAGGGTCATCTATGTTGGTAAGAACCATCTTACAACTACACTTGCTAACAGGAAAACAGAAGGTCCTCCCATCTTGTCCTTTCAGCTTAGCAATTCAGAGGCTCTGTTGGTTCTAAATTTGAGTTCATGCCTCGCCTCAAACTGGGAACTAAATAATCTCTTTCCCAAAGTTGGAAGGTTTTAATAAAAACAACACAGTTCTGGACTAATGATCAATTTTTTTGTTTGTTTTTCGAAACAGGGTTTCTCTGTATTGCCTTGGCTGTCCTGGACTCACTTTGTACACCAGCCTGTTCTCGAACTCACAGCGATCTGCCTGCCCCTGCCTCCCTGTGTGCTGGTATTAAAGGCGTGCACCACCACCGCCAGGCTAGATCAAAACTTATTGTATCTATTTTCTCCCTCTAGTCAAGTGGGCAGTGAATAACTTCCACTACCGAAATAATTACAAAGATCCGAAAGCTTATTGCAAGGTGACGCTGACATCCAATGATGTGCATCCAGGGGAGAGCTTGTAACTACCTGAAGCTAGTAAAACAAACTTCCCGTATTAGTGTTTGTGTAGTTTGAAGGGGCTGGAGGGGTGTTACCGGGATGGAGGATCCATACCTCCCATTAGACTTTTAAAAGCGTTGTGACTTAAGCTAACACCTTCCCTGTCCCTATGCCGTGCCAAGGACAGGCCACAGAGGCTAACACGGTTATTCAGGTTGGAGAGTTGATAGGTTGCTCAGATAGAAGGGAAGTTCGTCTCCCACTGTCACTCGCGGTAAAACGCAGCCAGAGGCCACCTCCTCCGCTCCAGCACCGACCCACACAACGCCGCCGCTGCCCTCCCTCCGTCCCGCCCACCCAGCCACTCCCACCCGCGGCCAGTTACCGGCTGCAAGCACAGACCCTTCCGGCCGCTGCACCTGTGGGCCCTGCGCACTCAGGGCACGCCGCCGGAAGCCGCGTTGCCGCCCCGGAAACGGAAGTTAGGCCTTGGGGTCATGGTGCTCCCGCGCTCAGGGTGCGCTCGAGGTGAGACGAGGATGCGCATAAAGCTATGCGCAGTTGGCTGCACTCTGAACCGGAACTGGAAGTGCTCCCGGCTGGTCACCTGCTGAAGGTAACCTCTACGGAGGGCGTAGCCACAGCGTGCGCTGCGTCATTTGCGTAAAGTGTTTTAAGCATTTGGGTGGGACTGTGACTTGATTCCAGTTTTAAAGTCAGAGAAACAGAGTCTTAAGAGGTTAACTTTCCCCATTCCCTTCTTCAGAACAGTTTTTCCTTGGAATTTATTGCTGACATGGGAGTCTTACTATTTAGCACTCACTTTGTGCCACACCTGAGGTCAGGACAATTTGCAGATTTTCTCTTCTTTCACCAGTGGGTTCCAGTGATCCACCTCAGGGCACCATGACTGGCAGCAAGTACCTTTATCCTCTAAGATATCTTATAGCCCCAAATGTGACTATAAAAAGGAAACTTATAAACAACAAAAAGAGACAACCGACTTTTTTGTTTTTTAAATGATGGTGTTGGAGAGAGATGGCTCAGTGATTACGGCCTGCTCTTCCAGAGAATTCAACTTTGGTTTCTAGCACCTACCTGTGAGGTTTGTGTAACCCCATTTCTGAAAAAGAAACTCCATTTTAAAGGCAAATGCCCTGGGAATCCAGGTTCAGAAAATGTGCTTCAATCCCTCACCTCTGGTAAAATTTAACCATCACCCCTAGCAACAGCTAATCAGCGAATACCTGGAGTTTACCCAAGTGTTCTTTACAATAGGATGAGTAAAACAATTACAGTTTGGCCCTCTGCATGCATCAGTCGGGTTCTATTGCCCGATATTTGTTAAATGTCATTCAATCATAAAACCGAGAAACTGGAATTTCCCCAAACCTCGCTGTAACCCCAATAAAAACCCTGCTGATTTGGGGCTCTGGGCTCTCAATCTTGATCCGCTGCTTTTGTTAAAGTTGGTGAGCCCCCTCGTGTGTTTGCAACGGAAAACACTCCTTGGTGGACATTTGGGTTCCCCGTGATCAGGGCTCAACACCACTCACATCGGCCACTCACAAATGCTTGTAACTTAAGTTCCGGGGGAATCTGAAAGCGAGGTCTGGCTCCAAAGACACTGTGACACATCGTGCATGATGTGTCTCTTCCCTCACCCTATTTTTTTTTTTTTAATTAAACTTCTAGTGGTGGCAGCAGCAACAGAGGCATAGAACCACACTTTCCTTATCAGGAACAGTGAGTAAGGTAAAACCAGATCCTTGACTTGGATGCAGCAAAAAGGTTTGGGACCAGCCAATATAAAGCAATGCTGTAGTTTATTTAAAAAACAACAAACAAACAAATAAACAGAGGTCTGACGTAGGCATCTGAGCAAGTAAAAGGTGTCTGCCACCAAGCCTGACCATCTGAATTCCATCCCAGGATCCACATGGTGGAAGGAGAGGACAGACTCCCACAGGTTGCTCCCTGACTTCCACAAGTGTGCCATGAGAGCCTTAACCCCATAAATAAATGTTTAGGAAAGAAAGAAATTAAAAAAAAAAAAAAAAAAGCCAGGTGGTGGTGGTGGTGCACACCTTTAGTCCCAGCACTTGGGAGGCAGAGGCAAGTGAATCTCTAGAGTTTGAGGCAGCCTGTTCTACAGAGTGAGTTCCAGGACAGCTAGGGCTATACAAAGAAACCCCTTCTCAAAAACAAAACAAAACAAAACAAACAAACAAACAAAAAAACCTGAGAGCATGGTATGGGCTTCTCAAAAACAAACACACTTTATTAAAAATAGCTCTAGCACAGATTTTTTTTAAGCCCAGGACTTAAGAAAAACTTTTAGTGGCTCTGAAGTTACATCTCAAATGGAAAAGGAAGCTTTTTCCTTTTTTATTTTTCATAAGTGATATAGGATGCTTCAGAAGTACCATGGATGGTTTTACAATCTGATAAAACCAGGAGCCACTAGGATTGTACAACGGGGTTAGGGCTTGCCCTTTACTACATGGATTTTCTGATGAGAGTCCTAGAAAATTATAGGTTTATAGATGGGAAAGGAGAAAGGCATCAAGCACTTGCTAATTGTTTTGGAATTTGTGATTCTCAGCTGTTGAAAGGGAGGCTCCTTTTGCTTCTCAGGTCTTTGTAGTTTCTTCTTTCTACTCTGCTTCACAAAAGACTTGCAACAGAGCTTTCCGAAAAGATACATAAAAGTAGGTGAAACAATGGTCAGCATCACTAATCGTTAGGGAAATGTAAATTAATACTAACTTTATGATTACTATTCCAATGAAAAGCATGTTCTTGGGAGGACATGGAACAATGAAATCTTGCTACTGTCAATGAAAGATGTTAGACCCACCATGTTAGAATTCAGTTTAGCTTTTCTGGAAAAGTGTGACATATAATCACCACATTACCCATTCTACCAGTAAGTGTATACTCAGAAGTGGAAATATGTTCAAACAAGAAGATGTTCACAAATACACATTGCATATAGCCTCCAAAGTAAAAACAACCTGAATATCCATGAGATGATGGACAAACATTTACACAAATACAGGCTAGTATTTAGGTATTATAAAGTGCTGTTAAAATTTTTTATTTTTGTCATATGTGATACCAAGCCCAATGCTTTGCTGTGCTAAGTAAACACTCGACCATAAGCTACCTCCATAGTTACTCATAAAAAGCAATGAAGTACAGATACATGCTACAATATGGATGAACCTTGGTGTCATGTTAACTAAAAGAAGTCAGATGCCAAAGACCATATATGGCATATGGCTGGGAATGTAGCTCAGTGATAGTGTCCTTTTTATCTTAGCATGTGAGAGGCCATAGGTCTAATCCCCAGTCAGAGAGAGAGAGAGAGAGAGAGAGAGAGAGAGAGAGAGCATAGAAAACTACAGGTACAATTTCGTTTATATTCAATGTCTAGAAAAGGTGAATCCATAGAGTCAGAAAGCAGGTTAGTATTGTTTAGGAATTGGGTAATAGGTAAAGGTTATTGGCTTTTCAGAGGATGAGAATGTTCTGCAGTTAGGTAGCAATGATAAGTTACATACCACTGCACATGTACTAAGAGACACTGAATTATACACTTTAAGTAAAACAGCAAGTTTTGTGTGAATTTTATCTATGTGAGAAGCTTTGGAACTTATGAGAGATTCACCTACAGTTTCTTCATCAGCAAGATCATACTTCCCTCCTAGAATTGCTGGGGAGACTTAAGTGAGATTAAGACCCTGCCAGCCACATAATAAATAGATGATGTTCTTGGAGCAGCGGCTGGTGGGATGGCTCAGTAGGCGGGAGTGCAAGGCGCCAAGCCTGATGATCTGAACCACATGGCATGGGGAGAGAACCAGCTTCCACAGGTCATTGTCTGACATCCAGTCCTGATGGGATTGTGGCATGTGTGTATGTGGGTATACACACACATGGTAATCGAAAAAAAAAAAAAACAATATAAATGAGACAAGATTATTAAATTCTGGTCAGGGATTATTCCGTGTAAAAGGCTTTTATGTTGTTCATTTTTTTTTCTAAAAATATATTCATTTGCCCATTTTTAATCTTAGGATTGTAAAGGCTTTTAATAAGTTGTGAATGTAGAGCCCACTCTCCAGTTGTGAAATATAAATATAAATGGGCAGGTAGGAGAGACATCCCAGCACTAACAGCAACCTTCTTGACATAATGAAGGATTAAAATTTTGAAAATATATTCTCTGAGTCTAACTTAGTGCCATCTAATGTGTATCTAATGTGTGTCTTTATACTGTCTAATAAGGTTCCACCAGTCTATGCTGGGCCTGTCAACTTAGGCAACAGAATATATTGACCATTCTTTTAGGCTTCTGGGTATACAGCAGTGGAGGCAAGGGGGTGATCCGTAGGTGTCTGCATTACATTAATGAAAAAAAAAAGACAGCACAGTAAATAATATTCAATAACATTTTTTGAGGATAAGTATTATGAAGAAAAACTGTCACGGTTGGGACAAGGTAGAGAGTGCTGAAGATATAGGGAAGCATTCAATGTTATGCCTGCAGGACAGGAAAGGCCTCTTTGAGAAGGTCACAGAGCAGAGCCTGAAGGAAGAGAGCAGGATATTTAGCAATCTGGAAGAAGAATATTCTAGTGCAGATTCACAGTGTTCAGAGGTCTAGAAGTAGCCAAGAGGCCCACTAGGCTGTTAGGCTGAGGAAATGAAGGAGTCAAGTGTAAGATGAAATGACCAGTGTTTAAAAAATTCTCATCATACCTTACAGTTAAAAGCCCCCCCTTCAGGGCTACAAGGATGGTTCAGTGGTAAGGAACACTTGCTGCAATTATGGAACCAGAGATCCCTTTCCAGCACCAACATTGGATGGCTTACAGTTACTCACAGCTCCAGCTCCAAAGGATCTGATGCAGTTCTACACACACACACACACACACACACACACACACACACACACACACACAAATAAAAAATAAAATTAAAAAAAATTCACCACTCTGGGATTTAGAGTATAGCTCAGTTTGTGTGCAGAAGCCTTGAGTTCATTTCTAGTATGTGGTGAAGGTACAGGCTTATAATCCTAGCACTTGGGAGTTAGAGGTTCAGTGTCATCATCAGCTACATGGCAAGTTCTTGAGGCCAGCCTGAACTACCTGATACCTTGTTTCAAGGCCAGAAACCAAACAGCAAAACCAGAAAAGAATTTATTATATTATTATATTTATTATATTATATTTATTATTTATATTATATTTATTATATTATA